CTGCCTTCCCTCTAGTCTTACACTGCTAAATTAGGGACGGCTAGCGCAGATAGCCCTCGTGTAGCTTTGCGCGAAATCCATAACAAACAAACAAACAAACCTTCTACGTGGAATGCTAGGACTGGAGGAAAAATAAATGGTTAAATAATACAGTGTAACTCAATACACTATCACATTAGTTATCCAGTAAAAATCTCAATTATGTGTTTTGCTAATTGTGATCTGTATCTTTAACAATATTATGCACTTGGAAATTCAGAGTGTGTACAATTTCTTGGTCAACTGAAATAATGAGTGATTGTAAAACAAGCTACCTACTTAGATTAAAAAAAAAAATACAAGTCAATCCGGTAATGAGTAAGCACCAGAAGAAGCAACGTCGAGAGTTTTATGACGCTATAAATTGGGTTTCGATAACTGCGGTGGGCCCAGCCCAGATACCCCATTATGTAGCTTTATGCTTAACAGCAAACAAACGTCGAAACGTTAAAGTGTGTTGAGCATTACCCGTGATTTGACGTCGTCATCGTCACGTTCAAATGCTTGAAAATGTTTGTGCATGCGTTTGTTATAGCAAAGCCACAACGGGCTATCTGGTGTGTCCACCAAGGGGAATCGAACCCCTGGTTTTAGTGTTGTAAATCCGAAGACTTGCCGCTGTCCCACCGGGGGACGAGCTTAAAAATACCAACAAAACCAACTCGGAGCAACTTACCTCCAATGTCTCCCCGTTGTACTCCCTGTTGCAGAATTTACATCTGGTCCTCCGCTTAGGACACGTATAGAACAGGTGGTCTTCCATCAGCAGCCTGGGAATCATAGCGGCGCACTGATTGGTGCAAGGGATCGCGTCGTATTTACACGTGTTCAAATGACCCTATGTGTAAGAAAAAGAACAACAATTAGAGGAAAAACATGCCATTTTGTTTAATCTTTTCAAACTTGCACATGAAAGAAACACAATATAAGAGAAAACACGAGTTGGGAAAGTTATTAATTTATAACAGGTTGTCCGGAAATTGCTAATAAACTGCTTTCTTGTGTATGTGTGACTTGATAACAATTTCCGGATACCATGTATATGCATCACAATAACAAACGTAAATACAGATACGACTGGAACAGATTCAAGTTACACGTCATTTTATAACTAAGTGTAGTGTTTCAAACAATCGGCTAAGGAAAACACAATATGTATCGTTTACATAATTGGAAAGTTAATGAAAAATATAAAACATGTAAGCATGAAATAGCAATGTGTATTTTTTTTTTTATATAATGACCTTCTCCGGATGTAGTAGGTATGAATTACATAAAATACTAAATATGAGCATCGGTTTCAAAAACTGTGTATTATATACACATATACATAATAAAACAAGATGGAATTCTCAATAGCCGCGACTATAACTCTATCTCAAATCGGTCAAGAGATGAAGATATGAGCTGAAAGTTTGTACGTGAAAAAACAGCAAACTCAGAGCAATTCTTTGAGCCATCATGCCGCAGCTAAAAAACAGATAAATAAATGTACTGTAACCTAAAACTTTAAGTCACCAGTACCAATTTTTTATATTAACATAACACTAGAAGCATGTGAATTGCACAGTACGACTATATAATTTCCAAGATTCAAACACTTGTGTGAGACAGTTCAGCCGTTTCGACAGAAAAATTGAATCAGAAGAAATTTCATTAACCCCTCCCCCATATAGGCAACAGATGTTGTTGTATTATTAAGCACAAAGCTACACAAAGGGCTATCTGTGCTCCGCCCACCATAGGTATCGAAACCCTGTTTCTAGCGGTATAAGTCCGCAGATATACCGCTGAGCTACTGAGGGGCCAGGCGACAAAATAGCGTAGAAGGGTCAAAGATACCATCCAATACAAGTAGTCAGCTACCTCTTTACCCCCCCCCCCCCATAAAGTTCGACAGGTTAAGATTTTGATTCAAAATAAAAACTCATTATAAACAAAGATATGAGATTTCTAAGATAAATTTGATATCTGTAGATAAAGAAACGATAACATAAAGCAGGGGATCTCAACTTTTGCTCACCCATTCTGAAAATATTTTAGGCTGTGACTCACCCACCTCATCGACCCCCCCCCCCCCTCTTGAGTCGAGACCCCCAATGGGAGGCACATCAGTGGCACAGCGGTGTGTCTGCGGACTTACAACGCTAGAAACCGGGTTTTGTTGCCCGTAGTGGGCAGAGCACAAATAGCCCATTGTGTAGCTTTGTGCTTAACTACAAACAACCCAATTTGAGAAACGCTGAGATGAAGAAATTTAAAAAAAGATCACAAATGACAGACTCGTTTCAATCGGTAACGAACCAACTTCAACGATAATCTATTTAATAGGAATAGTTATAGCACAAAGTGTTACAATATTTCGTTTTCTGCGGTAAAACATCACAATAAAGATGACAGAACTCTGCCATGTGCTTGTTTTAGATATAATAGTTGGACTTGTTGAAAACTACCTTACTAGTGCAGATTAATCATGGTGTGCGAAAAGTTTCGGGTTCGTAACCAAATAAAAAAAAATTGGATTTGTATATTTGTTTGTTGTAAGTACCAAGCTACACAATGGGCTATATATGCTGTGCCCACCACGGTTATCGAATCCAAATTTTTAGCGTTATAAGCCTTCAGACTTACCGTTGAGCCATTCGAGGGCTCGCAAAAATGGATTACGTCAGAAAAAAATTGATGCCCACGTAATGGTTATCCTACAACCCTGATATAAGGTCCGGGAATGGGCTTTGTTTGCGAGAATGAAAGAATGTATGGATTTGAGTTATTACAAAATGCTTTAGTAGCTAGTGGATTATCCATTTAGCTTAGCTGGTAGAGCACTCACTAAGTGCACGTAAGGTCCTGAGTTCAATCCTGCTCGTGGAAAATGCAAAAACGGAATTAACGTAGATCCAGCCAATCCCAACAGCTTGGTATTACAGTCAAGAAACTTCTACCACGTGTCTTTATGCGGAAGACAGTCATCATATCCACAGTTATTGTCATGTGACTTACATAAATTTCATTGAAAGAAATGATAATGACGTCATAAATTATGTTCAATAAAGCTGAAGTAGTTACAGTAATTTTTCAGTACATCTCACCCAGAAATAAGAACCAAAAGACTTGAATGCTGCGTAACTGTATGCGTTTCTTTAGCGTGGAACTATTAATTACAAAAACCTCGCCACCGCTAGATTTATACTCACGTAAAGGCTTATAAGCAAATACGAGGCAATTAGCGACAAACGCAGATAGCGTAGTTGAAAAAAAAACAAAAACAGAAGGATGTTAGCAACAGAAAGGCACAATGTAGTCGTATAAGCAACACAGAAGACTTAATTGCTATCTATGCTGTAAAATAACTTATCGGCTACGATAAATCATTCAAATGTTTAAGTTCACATACGTATTATTGTGACGCAAGTATAAACTTTAATTATTAAGTGACCAGATTGTATCCAGTTTATTTTTACAACTTGCATGAATTTTTATCAGTGATAAAAATCTGAGAGACAAAAAAATATAGTCAGAAGCAGAGACATAAGCATTTCTTTGTTTCACAATATTTTCCTGTAGAGCTCATTCTACGCCTAATTTTGTATGTGTATATACGTGGTAAATCTGCTGTTTTCCACCACAGTAACAATGTCGAGAGTGTAGACATGGAGGCTTAAGTATAAAAGTTAAATATTATACGTTCATTTCAACTGTAGATTAAAAGCTAAGAGTAAATTGCTCTGTTGAAAATTCATAAAAAGCAATGATTTAGTTAGTTGTTTCAAAAACTTTATGTTCAAAAACAATTCAACTTAAAAAATCATTTATTTTTTCGATGATTCGTGCAAACTCTCTTTGTTAAGCCTTAAACCTGTCATTTTTCATTACCACAGCTTAGATCATTTTTAACTCACAAAGATATCTAATAAAACATCAACCTTCTAAATGATTCAAAAGATCGATTATATCACACAGTTCCAGTATAATATATTGTAAACTAGGAAGAATGACCGACGTCGATAAAGCACAACGACAAAAATGGTTTACATTTTCTAATTATATATACTGTATAAATTAAGGTTATTTGCTAATATTGGAATTTATCTGAAATTGTACATATAAGCTGGTGACACAAATAAAGCAATGTCTCTAACACTTACGCGTGTATAGCCACTCTAACTATCGCGGGAAAAGATCGAGGATGTATCATGTGCAGGCCCTGTCAGAGGTTCAGAGGCCCGGGTCATTTCCAGCTTTTCAGGCCCATGGCCATAATAAGAATAAAAAATGACGACACATGAAAACAAAATACGACCAACATTAGGTCGAAAAAAGAGTGAAATATAATTTGAAGGGAGGTACATAAAAACAACAAGTCGCGAAACTTAACAAATGTTAAAAACAATTAACAAGTCTCTAAAGTTGAGGCCCCCTTTGAGCTTCAGGTTCTCCTGGCCTCCCCTCTGATTGGCCCTGATCATGTGTTTTTCACAGATCCAACAAATCACCTCTCACTTATTCAGAAACCCAACAAATTGTTCCTCACTTATTCACAGGTCCAACAACTCGTCTCTCGTTTACTTACAAACCCAACAAGTCGTTTCTCACTTATTCACAGATCCAACAAATCATCTCTCAGTTATTCACAGATCCAACAAATCATCTCTCACTTAGATTGAGATCCAACAAATCATCTCTCACTTGGTTGTAGATCCAACAAATCATCTCTCACTTATTCACAAACCCAACAAATCATCTCTCACTTATTCACAGATCCAACAAATCATCTCTCACTTATTCACAAACCCAACAAATCATCTCTCAGTTATTCACATATCCAACAAATCATCTCTCACTTGGTTGTAGATCTAACAAATTGTTTCTCACTTATTCACAGATCCAACAACTCGTCTCTCGTTTACTTACAAACCCAACAAGTCGTTTCTCACTTATTCACAGATCCAACAAATCATCTCTCAGTTATTCACAGATCCAACAAATCATCTCTCACTTAGATTGAGATCCAACAAATCATCCAACAAATCATCTCTCACTTATTCACAAACCCAACAAATCATCTCTCACTTATTCACAGATCCAACAAATCATCTCTCACTTATTCACAAACCCAACAAATCATCTCTCAGTTATTCACATATCCAACAAATCATCTCTCACTTGGTTGTAGATTTAACAAATTGTTTCTCACTTATTCACAAACCCAACAAATTGTCTCTCACTTATTCACAGATCCAACAACTCGTATCTTACTAAGTTGCAGATCCAATAAATCATCTGTGACATAGATACAGATCCAACAAATCATGCCTCACTTATTCAGAGATCCAACAAATCGTCTCTCACTTATTCATAGATCCAACAAATCATCTCTCACTAAGTTGCAGATCCAAAAAAATCACCTCTCACTTATTCACAAACCCAACAAATCATCTTTCACTGACATGGCCTGGTGGATCGAGCACTCGACTCTCAATCGCTTACTTATTTACAAACCCAATAAATTGTCTCTCACTAAGTTGCAGATCCAACAACTCGTCTCTCACTAAGTTTCAGATCCAACAACTCGTCTCTCACTAAGTTTCAGATCCAACAAATCATCTCTCACTTAGTTGCAGATCCAACAAGTCATTTCTCACTTATTCTGAGATCCAACAAACGTAAATAATTCTCCTTTTACCCTATTACAAGCAATATTAAGATGCGAAGCTTGAAAAACAAAATAAAACTGAAAACAACGTAATTCAAATTTCGATTCATGACCTTTTTAATGTCTTGTGACCGATCATTTAAAACATTTTTACACGCTTCTCAGTCGGAACGTTTTAACATACCTCTTGACCAATCATTTGAAACGTTTTTACATGCTTCTTGACCAATCATTTGCAACGATTTTACATGCCACTTGACCAATTATTTTAAACGTTTTTACACGCCTCTTGACCAATTATTTTAAACGTTTTTACACGCCTCTTGACCAATCATTTGAAACGTTTTTGCGAAGCTCTTAACCAATTATTTAACAAGTTTTTGCAAAGCTCTTGACCAATCATTTGAAACGTTTTTGCGAAGTTCTTAACCAATTATTTAAAAAGTTTTTGCAAAGCTCTTAACCAATTATTTTAAACGTTTTTACAAAGCTCTTAACCAATTATTTGAAACGTTTTAACACGTCTCTTGAAAAATCATTCGAAACGTTTTTACATGCCTCTTGACTATTCACTTGAAACGTTTTTGCGCGCCTCTTGACTAATCATCTGAAATGTTTTGAAGCTACTAATCATTTGGAACATTTTTGCAAAGTTCTTAAATTTCTTAACGGTACATCTCGCATGAAGAAATTGTTTTGGTGTTAAGTTGCTATATTATTTCAATATTTTCTTTTTTTACGTCATATTTAAAGGGTATAAATATAATCACTAAGTCTAAAAATTAATTCTTTTTCTCACCAGGCCTTACCTGTAATTTTCTAAGTTCGTCCATCCACTTACAACCCTTCTTGTGGTGTATACAGTAAACAAGCGAACCCATCACCGTATCCTCAGTGTTTGGATCTGGGTACAACTGGAACGCAAATTAATACAAGATATTAACTTTAATCCACTGCAAGCTGCAGAAATACATAATCACATCTGAAGAAAAATACACCATAATTTCTTGTGTCAAATTGTTTGTTTGTTTTCTGTCGTTGTTTCGGGGGGCGAAGGGTAGTTTGATTTAAAGATGAAATAATATCAAACTTATATTTTGACCTGTCGTGATTTGAAATAAAGTTTCTAAAACGAGTCTCGTAGCTGAAAATAATGAACTGAAAAGATATGATAAAGGGATTACGGTAAATAAAATCACATGAGTTAGTCATTAAACTTTGACATTGTATAGGAAATATAGAGTATTGTCATTAATTTAAAACGTGAAATTCACTTGTTACAGAGAACCGACTAAAAAGAGGAAAAAGGTTTTTCAAGAAGACACAACGATATACTGAAAGCTTACAGATGATGTTATATTAAAGTAGATATAGTTAAGTCGGAAACTAATGTATATCAATCAGACAGCTGCAGCGTGAAAAAGGCTTAGTTATAACACTAGTCATCATGACCGAAAGTTTAGTGTTGTCTATACAATACAGAAACATCACTGATCTCTAATAATGAAGGTATGGTGAAAATACAAGATTAAAATAGAAAACAATCAAGTGGTTTGTGTAACCAGTTCAAATTACACTTAAAGTTTCACATGCTGGTTATATAACATGTTTGGAAATAACAAGCACCTGAAATAGATGATAAGTACAAACAACGGGAGATAAAAGTTGAAGAATGTAAGAAAGTCAATAACCAGTCTGTATATCAACACACAAAACAGTTAAAAAATTATCTGATTATGTCATATCCACCAGATATTAATTTTCCAGAAGAAAGTTAAAAACAAACAAAGCAAGAATGAGAAGTCATCACTTATGAATAATGTGAGAAGTGATCTTAGAACTGTGGAATGACAGGGTAAAAATTCTTAGGTCGTCGAGGTAAAACGGACACGTAATTGTACAATATCCGAGATACTGATGTTAAAATTTACGAAAATACGAGACGGCATGAAGGGAAAATGACTTAAATAAATGGTACATGAGGATGTACGACCAACCTCAGTAAACACGCAGTAACCTAGTTACTAATATCCATCTACCTATCCGACAGGTGACACGGTGACGTAAACGGAAATCACAGGTCTAATTGGCCAGCGATGTGACGTAAACGGAAATCACAGGTCTAATTGGCTAGCGATCAATTCAGAGTTATATCAGACTTTTCAGTTAGATGAATGCGTTGCCTGCTCTCCAACTCACGTGATAAATAAAAAATTAATGAAATGTAAATGTAAACTAAATTATCTTTCACGTGTGACCAGTCATAAAGTTTGTTTTGTAACATATACCTTTTACATTAATATTATATTTCAATTAAAGAAAACATTCTTACTGTACGGTGCGTTAGCTGTCGACACGGGAAGACTTAACAAGTAGGCTCCTTTAGTAACAAAACTTAACTTCAACAACAGTGTGTAACAAGCAATCTTTTTTGTAGAGGGTTAATCGCATGTTACAAGAACGATGCTTCACATCCCATGCTGCCCCTGGAACTATTTTTTCCGTCGTCGATTTTGCTCAGTCTGATATGCGAAGCTATCCTTAAACCACACAGCTTGACGAAACTTTCCATGGACGTCAACCCACAAAGCTACGATTAAGCAGGCTAAAGGCACAAAATATCATTGTATTTGCACGGGATGGTTTGACATGTATTTACAATAGGAATAGGAATTGTTGTGATTCTAGTTTCTTCGGCCATCCTTCTCGTGAAAACAATGATTGATACCGAGATGTAATTGGAGCTTATGAACTTTTACAAGCTTTAAATTTTGGCTTATTAACTTGTTAAAGGTACCAGGAGACGTGCCCAACTATATCGCAGTGACTTTTTTGGATCGAAAGCTTCTCTTTCGTATCCATAGCCTTCACTTTACCAATGAGGACGTTTATATTGTATTTTAGTTTTGGAGCCTGCATGCTGCTGTTCTAAATGCTCTGCTGTGAGAAATTTTCTGCTTCCATGAAAAGCACTCTCTCTTCTTCGAAATGCTGTGTTCTTTGGATCTACGTGGTTTAACACTCTCCCTATACAAACATTCTTCTTAGAAAAGACTTGAGCTATAATCCTCCAACCATAACGGTATCCGTGAAAGCATTGCACTGTCGAATGGGCCAGAATACGTCATGAACCAAATATATGGTTGTTAAATAAGTCGCTTGTTATGGCTCGCATCTGTAGCTACATGCCACTATTTATACTTATTTAAACTTGAAGTTAGTCCTCAAATATCAAACCACTGCTTCCTAAATGGCCAGTTAACTTGGAAACGGTAATAAATTGTGGTCTCAAACTGTTTAGTTTAACCACTGGAGAATAATCATAGCCCAACATGGTTGAAAACTAAGTACACTCGCTTTGTATGAGAACTAGTTACATTCGATGACGTAACGTTGTAAATAGGACAGACTGTTCGGAGTATATTTATTTGCTTCGTTTTAGCGCAAAGCAGCAAAATAGGCTACCTGCACTGTTTCCACCACAGAGCTTGAACTTCGAATTATAGCGTCACACGTTTTTAAGCTTTATCTGAACTACCAGAGGCAAATTGGTGTATGGATCTACTACAAATATAATTCATAAAGACATGGAAAATTAAAATACCGATATATGTGGCAAGTAGACAGAAAATGAGGGGAATAAATAAAACATATTTCATTTTAAAAATATAAATTAGATAGAACTGACCTGATATTCGTTTTGATCAGGCATAACAGCCTACAAAAATTACTTACAGGTAAACACAGAGAGTTGCTAAAGTCAAGTTTCAAAGACTACTGAGAAGAGTGGAGTAATACCAATAGTTTAAAGTTGGCACAACCCTTAAAATCAGCTATAATCACCAAAACAGAAGCCAGCGAATCAATTTTCTGAAATGTAATCTTCTAAATATCTTGTTAATAGTTAAAATAGTTAGATATACAACATATTGTAAAATTCATTACCATAGTAAAAACAAAACATGAGCAATATAAAATTCAGTTTGAACAACATGTAAATATCAAGTATTATATCAAGCATAAGGAGCACGTTTCTGCAAGCTGTACAACGTAAATGAATCATATGATAATGATGCAATAAATAACACAAGTCCAAACTTGTCTACATCATCTTATCAAACAATCAAGTCATACCTTGGCGTAGTCCCGAGGTGGGCTGTCTTCTGTGTCGGGGAAAACACTGTCACTAAAGAAGAACAAGAAATATCGAGATTATTCACATGCAGCCGAAATAAACATCAAAAACAACAACCGAGAAATACATCTTAGAGTTTCACATAAATATTTTCTAAACACATTCCAGCAAGGAAAATTTTCTTTTTGCAATTAGCTTTGATATGCAAATCTAACGAACCATAAATGTTCATAGGATTTTTAATAGCATTTCATACGACTTACAACAAAATACTATCATCGTTAACAGTATTTGAAGGCTCCTAAAGTACTTTTTGGGGTCGTATTTTCTATACTTAGTCATTCCATGTTACTCTTAGTAACAAACATTGGAGCTACAAACTTCGGTAATGCTGATCGACACTCAGTAACAAAAATTCCGCCTATTTACAAGGTTCACCATATACATAAAATAATATTCTTAGTAGTGTTACCCACTTACGTGGTTCATTAGATACGTGAAAGTAACATTCTTGATAGTGTTACCTACTTACGTGGTTCATTACATACGTGAAAGTAACATTCTTGGTAGTGTTACCCACTTACGTGGTTCATCAGATACGTGCAAGTAACATTCTTGGTAGTGTTACCCACTTACGTGGTTCATTAGATACGTGAAAGTAACATTCTTGGTAGTCTTACCTACTTACGTGGTTCATTACATACGTGAAAGTAACATTCTTGGTAGTGTTACCCACTTACGTGGTTCATTAAATACGTGAAAGTACCATTCTTGGTAGTGTTACCCACTTACGTGGTTCATTAGATACGTGAAAGTAACATTCTTGGTAGTGTTACCTACTTACGTGGTTCATTACATACGTGAAAGTAACATTCTTGGTAGTGTTACCTACTTACATGGTTCATTAGATACGTGAAAATAACATTCTTGGTAGTGTTACCCACTTACATGGTTCATTAGATACGTGAAAGTAACATTCTTGGTAGTGTTACCTACTTACATGGTTCATTAGATACGTGAAAATAACATTCTTGGTAGTGTTACCCACTTACATGGTTCATTAGATACGTGAAAGTAATATTTTTGGTAATGTTATCCATTGTTTACTTTTTTGAATTAATGTTTAAATCAGACAGAGCTTACCAGAAATATATATTGAAAAATTAAAATAAAACTTATTTTAGTTTTGAGTATAATATGATAAATCTATTTCTCCCCCTCTCTCTCGCTCAATAACTGAAGCCTTCCTAATTGCAAAATGTATGTTAAAGTTTTTATTTCTATATTTATTATATTTTCGTCAGAGGCACATTGATAATCATAATTTCTATTCAGTAAAGACTGATCACAGTACTCAGTGTTTCACGAGCTGTCGTGGAACGTGATCAAAATGGTCTCCATGATTCTAAGATCAGCGTATTAAGCCTATCCCTAAATATAGCTACAAGATAACTACAAGCATTATTTCTTCTGGACTATTTACATTGATCCTGCACACTGTCACGAATTTGATTCATTCACAAATCTCATATTGCTGAGAGAGAAGAGAAATAACAACAATGCTGGTTTGTGAGAAAAGCGATTTAGTTATACATTATAATAAAATTTTCAAACAACCTATAGTCCATCCGGAATGAAAAATTGTGATTTTTAATGTGCCTCCGATGAAAAGTAGTTCCCCTAAAACAACTAATGTTTAAGGTATATATATATTTAATGATGAGAAACCCACTTTTTTTCAGAAAATACAAGTTTGGAGACGGTTTGAATGGGTAATTTTTAAGGTATGTTCATTTTTAATTGGATACTTTATTTATAATCATCTGTTTCTAAACACCAGTAAAAACGTTTATAGACCATTGGTTGTTCAAGTCTTTTAAAACTGATTATATTTTTCGACGAATGTAACTACACACTACAAATAATATTCGAAAGAAACAAATAAAAGAATCCTCAACATTTATATTATTGTCTATAAACCTCTATTTTTCGTCAGTCTTCTTTGAAATTTGCCTGTCTTTTTATACACAATACTTCCTCAGTGCGTCAGGAGTAACCTTACGGATTTGCAATGCAAAAATCCGGGATTCGATTCCTCACGATGAACAGGGTGCAGATAGTTCATTGTATAGCTTTGCACTAAGAAAAATAACAACAATTTACACACAATATGTTTCCTTTCTGCATGCCTTTCTGCAGACATACCGCTGTGCCAATGGGGAGCATTGTTAGACCGAATAGTATGGTTTTGACTGTCACTCTTATAACGCATTTCCAACCCCCAATATATGGAATGAAATTTTTTTCTTGGCGGCAACGAGTCGTGAATCAGAAAGAGAATAGAACTCAATTTAAATTTTGTGGGAAAGTAAATACCTGTTGAATGAGGACGAAAAAGTTAGCATTATTGTAAAGTTATTCGGATAACGTCATTGAGTTATTAAAAGATATCCTTAGCTCATTATGATAACATCCGAAATTAGCCTAGTATGTAACAATTGTGGAGTGTGTATTACTTCAAAGGTTTATATTTCTATATCTTACATCAAAATTCTTAGTCATCTTTTATTTCTAAATGAAGTCACGAAGAGCTTGTTATTTGCAAGATTGGGTGTTTATATTTGTTAAATTTTACTGACTATCCGCGGCTAGCCGTCCCTAATTTAGAAGTGACAAACTAGAAGGTAAGGCAGCTAGTCAACGCCATCTACCGCCAACCTTTGGGCTACTCTAATCGAACAGTGGGATTGGCCGTCACATTATAATGAACCTACGACAGAAAAGACGAGCTTATTCGGTAAGGAGATTCGAATCCACGACCTTTAGATTGCGAGTAGAGCGATCTAGCCACCAGGCCATGCCTGTTTTTAGGGTTTATGTGGATTAAACGTATGTTAAGAAACGTTTTAATATACAAAAATCGTGCGACGCGTAATGTAATTTCCGAAAACTGCTCTAATTTTATTCTTTCTAATAATTGTCTGTTACACAATCTTCCCATCGCGGATATCGAAATCCGATTTTTAGACTTACAGTGGTATAAGCCCTCAGACTTGCAGCTGAGCCATCAGGGGATGTGGGGGGATGTATACACAATAAATCAATCATAAAGAAAAGTAGCACATACTAATGGAAGTACTAAAACACAAATAAAGCAAGACTGAATCAGAGGAATTCCAACTGACGCTAGTATAAAGAAGCATTTCCAGCCAGGTGACATTAGTCTATTACTGGAAACATTTAAAAAAAAATAAAGGATAATAAAGCGTCTATATCATCGGTTCTAAACAAAAATAAAATAATTCGTTTCGTGTTAATACTATAACTGTCAGACTCAGCCAGCCATGCGTGAAAGAAAGCAGAGACTTAACGTACCAAGACGGCTTGGCGTTATACGCTGTTTTTTTACTATTATCGCATTGAGCTCTAATAATTTCTTTAACAAGGATGTTTGTTCCGCGTGGCGAAATCCATGTTCTACAGCCTGTCAGTCCCATTACTCAAGACTTTAATCTGTTGTATTTTAATAACGTCCACATCCTAGTTAGTGTTTAAAAAAAAAAAACTTTGAGAAACTGTTTTCTAGCAATATCCTCATAATTATATACACTCATATGCATATACAGAGACTGATAACATCACCATTTATTGCAAGTAGGGCGTCGTGTACACAGGAATATTCTGGATAAATGTGTACGACTTGGTACAGGTCAACCTTTACAGTCTAAGATGACCGTGTATTAAATTCAATATAACTGAAACGCACGTATACCTTCAGTGCTATTTAAAGCATTGAACATCTAGCTTCTTGTATACAGAAGCATATGCTAATAAAATGCTAAATTTACATACACATACACACAAAAAAAAACTATTAACGAGCGTAATGAAAATTAGTTCATGTTGAGAACATACTGCGTGTTTCAACAGAACATTGGCTTTCTTGGGAAGATGGGCCAATATTCTGTTGAAATGTGTAGCATGTTCTCTACATAAAATATTTTTCATTATGCTTATAAAGTGTTGTTTGTCAATTTACTATCATAATCCAGCGATTAAAGTCAAAAATGTGCACAATATTTATTGTACAAACATAGAAATTGACACCAAATTATTTTAAAACTTGCTTTTTCAAATAATCTTAGGAATCAAGTTGACAAGAAGAGAAATCTATTCAAAAAAGACATTCAGCGTTAAGCATAATATATTGCGTTTATTATTCAATCTGTCATTAAACACGTTCTGACAAAGTATAAATCTTATGAAAAAATACACAGTCAGTCTTGATTTCGATGACGAGGAACCTACTTTGAGACTAATAATGCTTGGAGACGGCTTGAATGGGTAATG